AAGAGCACCCCTCAAAGAGCTCTCAAACCCTTATCTCCTGGAGAGACAGAGTCCCACCCATCTCTCTCACACAGCTGTCACCCCAATAGTTCTCAGCACCTAGAACAGTGCCTGGCCCATAGAAGGCCCTCATAACTGTTGGATGAATGGATGAGCAGGTGTTGGGTAAGTGAACAGAAGGTGGGGAGCGTTGAATGTGGGTAGGGAAAAGGGAGTGGGAGGGTGAGTGTGGGGTGGGGGAAGAGTTGGGTATATGGGTAGGTTGATATACGGGTTGGTAGATGGGAGAGAGAAGGGTGAATGGGTGGGGGCTTGATGGGTAATTGGAGGGTTGGTGGGTAAATGAGTGGAAGAGTGGGTGGGTAGGCAGATGAATAGGTGGGAGTTGTTAGATGGGAGAAAGGGTGGGAGGACATGGACGATGGAGGGATAGGTGGATTGACTGGTGGTTGGGAGATGGGTAAGTGGGAGTCTGGATGGGTGGTGGGTAGAGGATTGGTAGGTAAACGGGGATGAGGGACAGGCGCATAGATGGGTAGATGAGTGAGCAGTGGGTGCAGGAGGTAGAGAGTGGATGGATGCTATGGAAGGACGAGCTTTAGCCTCAGACAGACCAGACTTTATATCTGGCTCAGCCCTTGGGCAAGTCGAACCCTCTGAGCTTGGTGGATTCCCTTTGTGAACTTCCTGAGCCTGTGCAATGGTTGTCCCAAGGCAAACTCCGGCTGCTGCCTGCATGCCAGCCAGCACCAGGTGCCTCCACAGGTACACCTAAGCCTCTCAGGAAAAAAAAACAAAAACCTGTTGGGAGAGGCCCCTGCAAAGGGAGGGGATGGTTCTGACTTAAGACAGATGAGGCTGAATCACCACAGGGAGTGGAGGCAGGACGCTGACAGTGGACAAATGCTCAGAGGATGGGTGTGGGGTCAACTATCAACTTGGGCCGCCTCTTCGAGTCAGGTTTGCTGCCCTCTGAAGCAATTCCCATATGGATTCACCTAACACTTTCTGAGCACCTATTATGTCCACACCCAATATGAGAGCATGTTATACCTCTCTTGAAGCCCCACGGCAGCCTTTTGACCTTTATCTGATGAAAGAGCAAACAGGGCTAACGGGGTTCAAGGAAGTGTTCTAGCATCACGAGTCTCACATTCACTTGAACTCAAACTACGGAGGCTTTTCATTGCTTATAAAAACTGGGAGGTCTCCTGCCATAAAAATAATGCATGCTTCTTATAGAACATCTGGGAAACATAGAAAAGAAAAAGTCGCCCTGTGACAACCCCTGTGGGCATTTACAGTCATTTTTGTGTGCATTCCTTGGAGTGATTTATTTTGTGATCATATTATCAATACAATTTTACATCCTGGCTTTTGATATCACAAACATTTACCTGCATTACTTATGTCTTTCATAAAGGCCATTTTATTATGATGATATAAAGATTCCATCAAGTAGCGGTAGGATAATTTACTTAACCATTCCCCTAAGGTTAGACACTGGGAGTGTTTCTATATTCTTTACCATACTCGAAATTTCAATATAGAAATACTCTGTATTTCAATATTCTAAATAATGCTGCAAAGAACATGTTTGTGCCCATGTTTTATTATTTCCCAGGATAGATTCCCAAACGTGAGATTTCTAGGTCAAGGTTTAAGCCCATTTTCAGGCTCTTTGAGGACCTCTGAAGGCCTAGTGCTTAACCCCAACCCTATCACCAAAATGCTCTGTGGTCCAATGCAAATCATCTCTCTGGGCCACAGGTCCCACATGAGGAAAGAAATGGACAGACTAACCCAACACCAGCGGCAATATTAGTAAATAACCAGCTACAGGATTTTAACTCCTGGAAGCTACACGGACAAAAGCAACTGAAACGTGGACCCCACCACCTGACATCCTCTGTGACCACACCTTACCCCGCACATTTGGTCTCTCTCACACTCAGTTTCATGCTGATTTAGCATAACGGCCTCTGCAGGAAAGTCTGTGATTCGCTCCAGATGGAAAGGATTAGTAATGGATTTCTCAAAGCAGAGGGAAGGTCAACAGGTGACAGACCAAAGAGGCCAGGCACTGCTTCCCTCTCACCCTGCCTCCTAAGGGAAGGGGGGGGCTCCATAATATGACTGCAGGTGATCCCACACGCCCTACACAGCTCATGGGCCCTGGCGCGACTTCCCGACCTGAGATGAGCCAAGCTGATTCTTTCCCCCAGAAATCTGGAGTTGGCCCTGAGACATTGTGGGGATCTAAGCTTCGAGGTCACAGAAAGCAGGAGGGAAGTCAGCACTGTGGCCAACCAAAGGCACAGTGGAACTGAAATGCTGCCCATAAGCCCGGGACACTGGCTTGCAGGGAGGAATGGAACAATAAGGTAGACATTTAGAAAGAACTAGAAACATCCCTCAAGCTCTCTCCCAGTCCCAGCTGTACCTCACTTTCTGTCCTGGGGTGCCAGTGAGTCTGCTGGTTGTGCTCTTACAATAATGCCCGCCCCACCCCTACTGTCACCAGCCTTGGGGGGGTGGGGGGCTTCTGTTTCTGGAACCAAGAGCTCCTGAGTGCTCCTCAGCCAGACCAGTTAGGAGAGTGAACAGGGATATTTTGAAATGCCTGAGACTCAGGTCAATACAATGGGGGTGGAGGTGGTGGAGCAAAGATGATAAAGGTAGATGGATAGATAGAGAAGATGTGCTGTGTGTGTATATATATATACACACACCACATCTGTATATATCTGTATATGCACACACACTGTATATACTGTACAGTGGAATATTGTTCATGAGAAAGAAGGAAATCTTGCCACTTGTGACAACATGGATGAACCTTGAGGGCATTATGCCAAGTGAAATAAGCCAAACAGAGAAAGACATATACTGCAGGGGATCACTTACATATGGAATCTTAAGGGCTCCGGGTGGGGGAAACAGGGAGAGGTTGGTCAAAGGGTACAAACTTCCAGCTATAAGATGAAAAAGGTCTGAGGATCTGGTGGTAACAGGGTGACCATGGTTGAGAACACTGTCTTGTATAACTGAAGTCTGCTAAGAGAGAACTTAAATGTTCTCACACACACACAAAAAAAGAAGATAAACATGTGAGGCAACAGATGTGCTAATTAACTAGATGAGGGTCCTTTCCCAATTAGACATGTATCAAGTCACCACAACGTACACTTTAAAGACCTTACAATTTTATTTGTCAATGATACCTCAATAAAGCTAAAGTCCTTAAATAAATAAATTTTAAATAAAATAAATGAAGAGGATCAGAGCAGGGCCCAGAGTTTGGCAACCGTCCACTACACGCATGCTCTGTACCCTGGATGGTGACTGAGGGAAAGGGATCCAAGCAGACTCATAATGCCAGGAGAGTGTGGGCAACAGCTTGGAAGGCTAAGAGGGCTTAGGGGAAGGCAAAGTGCAGAAGGAGACCAAGAGAAGAGATGTTCAGGATGAATCCTGCCGAGAGGGAGAGCTGTGGTAATCCTGCAACAGCCAAGCTGTGAGAAAGGACGGGAGACACCAGAGCTACAGCCACCTGCTGTCACCAGTAACAGCGTGGATCTCGTGGGCCAGTGCATGGACCACAGGCTAAGGAGATGTCAGGGTGGATGCATCTGCTAGGAAGGGTCTTGTGCCTTCAGAAGTCAAGTAAAGAAAAGTAAAGCATCCACTGTGTGTGCCTAGCACCACATTATAGACAGCCCAGCTCTAGCCCAAGGGAGGCAAAGACCAGCAGAAGGCGTCATCACTGAGGGTCACTGTGGCAAGGCCTCCAGGCCAGGAGGAGGGAGAAACAGAAAGTGACCAGACAGACCATCTGAACACACTGAAAATTAGAGTTCCATCTTAAAGACTAGAATGAAGGCAGAAGCAAGTGACAAATTCTGGAGCTGCCTGGAGGTCACTGGGCTCATCAAGAGGCCTGGGAATCATGACAGACGTGGAAAGAACTGGCCCCTCAGCATGCAGGCAGCCCCAGGGTGCCATCTCCCACCCAGCCTCTCTCCTCAGTCTCACCTGCGTCACTATTGCTCCTTCCTCCACTAGCAGCTGTCCTACAAGCGTCAGAACCAGCAGCCCAGTATCTCACACAGTGCTCCCGGTGCTGTTTTAGGCTTTTAATGACAACTAAGGGTGCCCAAAAACCTCCCAACTCAAAACTCAAAAACCTAATGACAACCCTTCAAAAATCTAACAAGAGTTTATGATTGTTCTAGGCACTTACAGAAAGCAAAGCTAGGGAAAAACACAAATGACCAGAAAGCATATTCAAGGCTCAAAGTTAAAAAAAATGTTTCTAACATGCAGGCCTTTCAATAAGGAATTGATTGCCCCAGGAGATGGTGAACTTCCCATCACTAGAGGTAGGCAAGCAGAGTCTAAAGGACCCTTCGCTAAGGAGCTAAAGAAGAGATTTCTTAGATAACCACTAAGGTCCTATTTAACCCAAGATCCCACAGAATGAAATATACGGTAGAACAATTACAGACACATTTGGCAAATCATCAAGCAGCAGGATTAGCCACTGCCCTTAAAATTTGAAAGGAGCACATTTACAACAAATAAAAGTATGACATTACATGCAGTTAATAAGCTTATAGACCTTATTACTCTGAACTGAAAACAGAAATAGGCCTAAGAAGGGCTGAGCTGGATGTATAAAAATTTGACCAAAAGCACTGAGAGATGCGTATGAGTGGTCCTCCCTGCAAAGTCAGGCCACCCCCAGAACCCCGGACTGGCAGAGGCAGTGCATGGAACTGGATGAACTTCAGATTCTGTCAGGTGCTTGCATGGAGAAATGCCCCGCCCCGCACATTCCGACAGAAAAGGCCTGACCTTTGGGACCCTGAGCAGCTCCTTCCCGGTGAGAAACATGGGGGTCACGGGAAAGCCCTGACCCCCTGACCGAACACTGCCCCTCCCATGGGGTGAGGGATGAGAGCACAGAGAGGGCTCTCTGGCCTCGGAGCATCACTCACAGCCTCGACAGAGCCTGGTTATTCTGGAACAGCAGTTCTGGTAACATGTGCAGCTGATTCCGGTTCAGTCGTCTGCAGAAGAGAAGAGAGGAAGAGTTGGAAATTGCCTAGGAAATCCAAAGGGCTTTTCAAAAAGCACTGGATTCAGAGCCAGAGAGCCCAGGGTTCAAATCCTAACGGGGTCACCGTGCAACCCCAGGGAGGTCACCTTCTTTGGGCCTCAGTTTCTTCATCTATAAAGTGGGAATTCCACCATCCAACACTTGGGAGGGTAAGAGCAGAATATTTGTGAAAGCCCCTCCCCAAGGCCCCGCCGTGGAGTGGGCAGTTAATAAATAGAGCATTTTCCCTCCCATTCTTTCTTCCCACCCTTGTAATTTATAAGGCACTGATTCAAATACCAGCTCAGTTTGTGAGTTAGGTGTCTGACTACGCTTGAAATACGAAATGTGAGATATATCCTAATGGGGTAGGACTGGCCACATGCTTTGTGAGGGTTTGGGGAATTTTTATGAGTTTATTTGAGCCAAACTGATGACATACCCTGGGGAGCAAGAATATCAAATGCTTCCTGGTCACATGGTTTTGGTTCTTTATTGCTTTTATCCACATTTGGCTCAGCGGCAATTCAACTTTTAATGTTTGCTTTTAGGTCTTTTTTTCAAAACAAAAATAGATTTATTGATTTTTTTAAATTATTTATGAAATGCATGCTTAATTTTTTTAAAGCCTCAAATAAGAGAAGGAAAAGTATTCGGCCACCTGCATTCTTCTGACTCAGTAATTTGTGTGTCTTTCCATGCCAAACAATAGGGAATGACCTCTTTACTTTTAGTGACTGAATAGTTATGTTCATCATTTTTAATTCTTCTAGTGGTGGACAGGCAACTTGTTCAGGATTATGAACAGAGGCAAGAGTGGGAAGTCTGGGTCTTGAACGTGGCCTGACGACAACACGGTGCAGAAGAACCTCGACTTGTCCCCGGAAAGCAGCAAAGTTCCCCCAAATTTACTTTGCCATCTTGGGCAACTAACTCTTTTTTTATCCTAATTTTTTATTTTGTAGTTGACATACAACATTATATTAGTTTTAGGTATACAACATAGTGATTAGACATTTATGTAACTTACCAAGTGATAACTCCAATAAGTCTAGTACCCACCTGACACCACACATAGTTACTGCACTATTATTGACTATATTCCCTATGCTATACTTTACATTCCCGTGACTACTAGGCAACTAATTCTCTGACACTGGAGTATAGGACTTCAACCGGTCAAGGGGTGTGACACCTGTAAACTATGGAACCTTGGTACTCACACTGTGGTCACAGACCACCTGCAGGGGCATCACCTAAGAGTTGGTAAGCGCCTCAATATCCCAGGCTCTCCCCCAGACCTGTTGAGTCAGTCCTCATTTCAACAAGGCCACCGTGCTAGGCCCGGTTGGAGAAGCACTGGTGTGAAATGCAGCCCCTGCCCTCCGACTATGGCAGTTTGAGTTTCACAAAGCTTTCCTTTGTTGGGAGGGAGAAAAAAATGTAATTCTACGTGGTTGGCACTTTACCTCCTAGGAGGTCACCCTTCATCTGCTATGTGAGAAAGGTACCATTTCCCAGCACGGTACAGACCATTAGACGAGCTGGAAGAAGTGTTATCTAAACGACCAGCTCCTAGGGAAACGCATCGCTGCCCTAGAAAAAAAGGGTCCACCAATGGAATCCTTAAAGCAAGAGGAGTAGACCTTAGATGGCTCCAAGTTCCTTCACCTTGTCCAATAAATTAATCCTGTGTTTACACTGCCTGGTAATCACTGGTTTTTGTTTTGTTTTGTTTTCCCCCGAGATAGTCTCAGTTTTCCAGCTTCAATTTCTGAAAAGCACTTTAAAGGAAAAGGGACCCAATGCCTAGTTAAAGTGGAAAATCAGAGGACACCAAAGGAGGGACCCAGCACGGTGAGAGGCCTGCAGGTAGCTAAGAATAATACCATCGCAGCAGTGGCTACCTGTCCTTAGCAGCCTCACTATGTGCCAGGCACCAGAGCAGATGTTTTATAGGCATCACCTCCCAGTCGGAGGAAAACAGAATAAAAAGGTAGATTTCTTTCTCTTGAGTGTGACAAGGTCTCACATTCACATACACGTCCTCTGGTCTCCTCCTTGCAGCGCCCCCTGGGGAAGGCTTCACCTCCACCATCGCGACACATGCTTGGCTCTTAATAAATGTTTGGGACATGTTTGTTGACTCTGCTGCGTACTCTCTTTGACAGCTGAGGGAATTAGGTGAGTGACCCCCCAAGTCACCTCTGAGAGGCAGAGGTGGGGTTCTGAAGCCTGCCTTTCCCAGCCCCCCATCCTGGCAGCCTCCACATTACACACCGACCCCCACTCAGCCAGCTGAGGGTGGCTGAGCCTGCACCCCGTCCCAACATCAGAATGACCAACGCTGCAGGCCGATCCTCGCGGCCGCAGGCCCGCAAGCTGCTGCTTCCACACACAAGTCTGTAACTGCTTACAAGGCCAGTTACGTCTGTTCCCAAACCTGTTTAGCCAGAGGTACTTATAATTATAATTATATAATTGAATGAACTGCTACATAAACAAACGAAATACCAGTGTGAAAAGAGAGAGTCGTCTCTATGAAGACTAAGCCGAATGCTTTGAAAGAGTCAATAAAAGGAAAGCTGCTAATTAAAGGGCTGTTGGATTACGTAAATGGCTGAGGGGCAGGAGTGTCATTAAAGAAATTCTGAATCCACCCAGACTGTTTCCAGGGGCCCTTTAAAAAATCTCACTCCACCTTAAAGAAACCAAAGCCAGATATCATAAGCCAGGTATACGTGTGTGATTTAGGAGGAAAACAATACAGAACTCCCTCCCATCAGCATCTCATAATAAAAAGAAAGGTCTTGGCAAAAAAAAGGGGGGGTGAGGTCAGTAAATGCTCATTTATATGTTTTAACCCAAAATGAAGTGTTTAGAGTATATATGGTGCCTATGACCCCCCCATGTTACCTACTTTTCACCCCTGGTCCCCTACAAGTCAGAGGAGAGGGTGTGGGCCATCCACAGTGAGCACTGGACACCCCCAGGGACAGAGCAGTCACAAAGAAAAGGACAGAAGGGACAAAGTCTACAGTGGTGTCATGACTCAAAAAGTAGGACCCTGCCCAGCCTGGGTGGCAATAGGACCTGGGTGGCAGAAGCAGCAAGATGGGGGCCACCGGGTCATGTCTGAAGCCCACCCCACCTTCTCTCCTCCCACAGGGCACGGCAGTACCCGAGGTGAAGCTGGACTGGGATAGGTCCAAGTCAGCCCCTCATCAGCAGGTCACAAGGATAGTATATTTTGTTCTGAGCCTTTGAAAAGAAAACAAACATAGGACTAAACATCTGGTTAGCTGGGAGCTCCTTATCACTCAGTTTTAGGCTGGCTGAAGAAGGTCAAAGAAAGATCCTCTTGACTTTCCTCCAGGCTGCAAGGCGGCAGTGAGACAATCTCACCCTTTCCCTTTTATTTAATACCTTATTTTCTTTGATATGAAAGAGAAAAGTGAGGTATTAGGCACAGCCATTAAGAGCTCAGGTTTTGGAGGCAATAGGGTCCCAGTTCTAATCCTCTCTCCTGCACGTAATCACTTAATAATCACTTAATAAGGCAAGTGCTTAACTTCTGTGCCCCTCTATTTCTCATCTGTAAGATACCACTGACCCAGTGTTGTTTCAAGGATTAAATGAAATACTAGGGGCCGGGGGCAAAGAGCTTATCTTGGTGCCTGGCATAGAGTAAGGTAGTCAATAGTAGCTATAATTATAAACTCATTTTAAGAAAATCCATAAAAAAATAAAAGCACAAAGAATTAAGTTACCTGTCAATCCACCACTCAATGCAATGAGAGTTAATATTTTCAATTCTTTTTCTCCTCCTGTATTCTGTACACATACAAGTTGACTTGATTTATACAAATGTCACTGCCTGCCTTTCCACTTAACATTATATTGTATGCCCCCGTGGCCTTAATTATTCTTCCAAAGTGTGATTTTATGGCTTATGTCTCCACCAGAATGGCTGCTGCTAATTTTTTATTACATTTAAACACTGTGCAATGAATATCCTGATGTATACATTTTTTAACCATGTCCCTGATTATTTCTGGTTCAAAAGGCATGAACTTTAGAATTCTTGACACCTACAGCCAAACCTCCTTGCAAAAAATGAGACTGGGCCCTGACCTGGTAGCTCAGTTGGTTAGAGCATTGTTGTCCAGGTAGGCCAAGGTTGCAGGTTCAATCCCCGGTCAGGCACATACAAATGTCAACCAATGAATGCATAAATAAATGGAACAACAAATCAATGTTTCTCTCCCTCTCTTCTTCTCTCTCTCTAAAATCAATCAATAAAAATTAAAAGAAAAAAACACAAGAAAAATGACCACCCTGAATATGAGTGCCCATCCCCCACCTCACCCATACCACATGCCTTTTTTCATTATTATTGCCCATCTGAAATGCAAAAATTGATCACGACACATTTGCAAACTCAAAAGCCCTGTAAAGAACAAACCATGCAAATCAGAGATTTCTACACCTTCCAGTTTCTGTGCTATAGGCCTGAGCACCCAAGACATGGCTCTTTAGAGGCCCCTAGGCTTCCCTGATGGTCCCCTCCACACACCAATGCTTCCTAAGGCCACGCAAATCAATAAACGATGGTTATACCAGGGTATGAGATTATAGGAAGAAATCTCACTTCCTCTGTACTGTGTGGACTTTTTGCCATAATGCATTTGGGGGGGGGGAATTGCTGCATTTAGAATGTGGGGTGATGATGGTCTCTAGCTTTCTCTCTGCAGTGATCGCCTGAGGATGCTGTGACCACTTCCACAGCTGCAGCTGCCCCAGGTTCCCACCAGCAGGCAGGAGGCAGGCCATGTGTGCAGTCCTGTCCCTGAGCCTCCCGGCTTAGCCTGCTCGTGTACCCACTGCCCTCCTGAGCCTGCACCCGCATATACTTACAGCCGCTCCAGCTCCTTCATGTCATCAAAAGCACCCCGTTCCACCACTCCAATCTGGTTCTCCATCAGCTGCCTGGGGAAGCAAAGAGACAAAGACAGCTACAGGATGTCGGACCAGGACTCCTAGAAATGGCTGATGCAAAGGAGTGAAACAGGAGCCATGCCCGAGGTGCATGCAGACCTGAGTCCTGGCTGAGCCCACAAAGCAGACCTGAGTCCTGGCTGAGCCCACAAAATTTCCTCACAACTTTGCAAATCCCCCACAGGGGCTCCTCAGCACACCTGGCTCTGACCACAAGATGCTCTTCCAGCCCCAGCCCTGTGCAGAGCCCTCTGAAGCCACCTGCATGGCAGAAGGCCACAGGACACTAGAGCACCAGGTCATTGCTCCAAAGGCATGCTCGGGAAGCCAGACCCAGGCAGCAGGGGCTGGGTCTGGGCTGCTGGCGCACGTGCCCTCCTTTGGCCCAGAGGGTGAGTTTCCAAGGGGCAGAGCAGACAGAATGGGCCAGTGGGGGTGGGGGGAGCCTGTGCCAACTGGACAAAGCCCACGCATGCAGCACACTCTGCAGTTGGCAGAAGACGCCCCCTCCGTCTGCAGCCCCACTCTGCTTGGCCCATCTGCTGCCAGTTGAACCACCTGGCTCCACGGGGCTCTGTACCTCTTCATCGCCAATGCGCCCTGAAACCCAGAGCATCCAGCTGGCGACAGCAGTTTTTGTCAACAGATCGCCTGTTGCATGGCAATTTTTGAGATTGTCAAACATGTTTTTCTGCCTGCACTTTCCCCTTCTCCACTCTCTGGCAGGTGGCTTATGTGCTCCCGCACAGACCTCAGATGAGGTTTGAGACAGGGCGGGGGCAGAAGCTGCCACCACACACCTCTTTTTCTCCACTTTGTTTCCATAAGCCTACACTACAGAGGAGCTCCCACTGCAGACCTGGATGGGGGATGGGGGACACACCAGGAGGGAGGGGGCCTTCCTCCGGCTCAGAAAAAGTTCCTGGATCCTGGGATGGGGTCAGAGATCAGTGGGTTCTGGAGCAGCAGAGACTCCCGCCCCAGTCATTGACAGCTATGACCCCAGAAAGGAGTGGCCACAAGGTCCCCAGCTCCCCCAAAGATCCTCAGAGATGCAAAGCCAGTAGTTCTGAAAGAACTGAGGCCCCAGGACCCTTGCACTACCTTGGGAATAGAGCGTGAGGGATCCTATGACTGTCTGATGTTGAATGCATCAGAATGCACACATGACATGCTACCTCTGCATGGAGATCAGCAGAAGAGAGAAGGGATTAACACCCTTTCCTCGCTCCTCAACCCTGCCCAGCATGACAAAGGAGGTGCTGCTGATGGATGGTTCCTTTTCCAATAGAGTAGTGTCCACTACCTCCAATATCTGCCACTGTCAGCCAACCCAGGGAAGTCACCTCTGTCCTCCACTGCTCCCACTCACCTACCCTCTCAAGTCAGGGACAGCCCCTTGGCAGGGAATCTTTTGGGCCACAGGTTCAAAAGAACTATAGAGACTGTTATATACTGAATTGTGTCCCCCCAAATATTAATGCACTGAAGCTCTAGCCCCAATGTGGCTATATTTGGAGATAGGGCGCTTAAGGAGGTAATTAAGGTTAAATGAGGTCATAAGGATGGGGCCCTAATCTGATAGGACTGGTGTCCTTATAAGAAGAGACACCAGAGAGCTCTTCCTGTACACACAGGAAAGGCCATGTGAGGACACAGCAAGAAGGTGGCCAGGAAGAGAGGCCCCACCACAACCAACCCTTGGTGGCACCTTGATCTTAGACTTCTAGCCTCCAGGACTGTGAGAAAATAAATTTCTGTTGTTTATGCCACCCGATCTGTAGTATTTTGTTAAAGCAGACTGAGCAAACAAAGACAGAGACCTAAAGATTCCTCATGGTCACTTGATCTTTCCTCACCCCAGGAGACAACCAGTGGACAAGACAGCCCATCTGTCCAGCCCAGGTCTTGCCAGGCAGCCACTACTGGCGCCTACACCATACCCAATTTTTCAGCCATGCTGGAGGCAGTGGCTGGCCTGAGTCAGGACTCACCATCACTTCCACCCCACTCCCCTCAGGGTGTCCCAAGACTGATTCCACACGAAGGAGCCCAACTTGCCTACAACCCTAAAACCCACAGCCAGGGCTCTGCGTAGGACCCACAAGGCCATTGCCGAGGGTTGGGGAAGGAGGGAGGTTATGAGCAGGAGCAGGATCCCATACTTACAGCACCCGCAGCTGCTTGAGCCCTGCAAAGTCGTTCCTATGGATCCGAGTGATGTTGTTGCCGTTGAGTTCCCTGGTGGAGAAAAGGAGAGAAGAAACTGGTGAGATGTGCAGGGTCGGCCCTCAGGCCAGGGGCTCAGCTCCAGGTTCTTTCTCTACCTGGTTCAAGCCTGTCATCTGACCAGCAGAGCTGAGTTCTTCTCAGCCAAGCCCGGGACCCTCAAGTCTGTGTGGAGGCCCAACAAGCTGGGGCCTGTTTTCAGCAGATGTCCAACCAGCAGGAACTCACAGTGCTGGGAGTTCTGCTAAACCCAACTTGTAGCTCTGGTCCTGAATGAGCTCCGTCTAGTTAGAGAGACGAGGCATTCACACAGGAAAGAATCTGGAAACTAGCCAATTAGAAGCTATTTAGGTGGAATCCTTGCTGAGCCTCAGTTTCCTCTTCTATGAAATGGGGATAATAACTGTGCCTACCTCACAGGGTTCGCATGAGGCATATAAGCAAATAAAGAGCAAGGCCTGCAGTTTGAAAGGGCCCCGTTGTGGACACTGTTGTTATCATTTGGTGGCACTGGTTCCTGCGAGCTGTCCATATTCTGAACAGGAGAGAGCAGAGTGGGTGGTGCCATTCATGGGAACTGAGGATGTGGGTCTCAAGCTGAGACCTGAAGGACAAGGCAGATCTGCAGAGCAGGAGGGTCGGAGCGGACATTCCAGAGAAGGAGAATATCCAGTGAATCCGTGGGGCGGGGGGACCCAGGCTGAGAGTCGGGAGCCAGGGGAAGAAGGGCTGGGGGAGGGTGGGTCCAGATCACACAGAGTCTGAGAAAGTAAGCAGTGGAGAGACAGGGAGCCAGTGAGGTCTCTGGGCAGGAGCCTGCCATGAGGTCAGTCCTGTAGCAAGGAGAGGGTGGGAGGCAGGGGGAG